GTACAACAAATTCGTTGTGGAAGCTGACTACTACAACAACGGCAGAGATGTTTATGGTAGTGGTGGTGTTGCTGTTGATTGTGGTGGTTGAGGTGGTTGTGGTAGTAGTGATTATTTGATTGGTGGTGATGGTTGAGATTTTTTTGATGAATTTGTTTACAAACGACGACGACTACGACAACAACAACTACTGCAAGTAAACAACTCAGCGTCAGTGGAAGTGGTGGTGGTGTTTGTCTTATATCTGTCTGTTGTATGTTGCTGTATGATGTCAAATAAATTCTTTCAAGTTTGTTAAATAAGTCGACTGTCCGAAATGTGTTGTTTTGGTTTGTGAAATAGTTTTCTGTACGAGTTTTCCTAATGATGAAGTAGTAGTGTAATGTTGCTGTTGTTGTTTTTGGTGATAGAGCTGTTGTTATTAGTGGTGTTGTTGCTGTTTTAATTGAAATGTCCTTTCTGGTGTTGTTGTTTTCGTTGTTGCTGAAGTCGCTGTAGTCGTTGTTGTTGTTGAAGTTGTTGTTGGTTGATATTTTGTAGTAGAAATTGGAAGAGGAGTAGTTGGTGGTAGTAGTAGTAATAGATGTACTTGAGGTACAACAAATAGTGGAGGTAGTAGTAGTAGCTGAAGCAGAAGTCGACTTTATATTCCTGTAAAAATGAGGAGCGTATACCACGTTTAAAAATTTTATAACAAAAAAAAATTAACTAAGAATATTAAAAAAAACTTTGTTTTCTATATGTGAACAAAAAAAAATATATATAGACAAGGGGGTAATGTGAGTAAATAAAAAAACGACAAATATTTTCATGGAATTACAATATCCGAGAAGGGGTAAGACGCATTCATCATAGTAGACGTGTAGAAAACGTTAACATACACAGATACGTAACACAAACAACGAGCCATTTTGGTTAGAAAAAAATAAATAAATGAAATACTTTGTGTTTCACACTCATTGCCAAAAAACGAAAAAACAAATTAATTTTTGGCATAAGGTACTTTTATAACGTCGTCGATACAGTCATACTTATTACATATTTTATTATTAATGGACACAGAGAGCGGTAGTGATAAAAGAAAAAAAAAACATGCAAATGACATGAATAATAAATTATACAAAATAATAAGCACAATTTTCTATGCGCATTGCTGCAGATTCTTTGCAAATTTCAAATAAAAACTTGTAAATAAATGAAAGATTTTCTTTTTTTTCAAATCTCTATGGTTTATAATTTAGTAAATTTGTGTTTTTTCATATTGTATAAGACAAGTAATATTCAAGGATAGCAAATTCTGCGCATGGTCAGATCAATCAGACGAACTATTTTTTTTTTATTTGCAGGTACAATCTTTTTTTCGTGAATTAACATCTTGACCTTTAAATGCTTATTATTTCACATAAATGTAAAACAAATAAATATTTAAAAAAATATTCGTTAAAATGGAAGACACGATATTTTGTGGTGCACATAGAGATATGGGCTTTATTATATGAAAGTGGCAAGTAGACTTTTATGCACTTTAATTTTTAACATTTTTAATGAAAATATTACTTCTTAAGTATTAGACCCATATCATTTGAAATAATTACATAGAATATACACATAAAATATTTTCATTTGATATTTTATATTATTGACAAGTTTAGAAGAAACTTACCTGTAACGAGCACTGCCGCCACCTGCACTACGGCCACTGACTGATTCGCTAGCACCGCCCCGGCCTCCACCTCCGCCGCTGTTTCCACCACGACGTCTACTGTCACGTCGTGAACGACCAGAGGACATTTCAACACGAATGCGGGTACCACAGCAGCGACTATATAAGATGGAAAAAAAAATGCAGTGACACAATTACTTAGATGACCCAAATAGTACCACTTAACCACTTACGTTCCATCTAAAGCACGGGTTGCATCTTCAGCATCTCGTCTGTCTTCAAATTCAACGAAGGCAAAACCTGGTGGGTTACGTGCCACCCAAACATTACGCAGTGGGCCGTATTTGCTAAATGCGTTTTCGATTTCATATTTCGATGCTGATGAGCCCAAATTGCCCACATAGACTTTGCATGCCAAATCCCATTCACGATAGCGTGGCATATTTCTGTTTTATTATTTATAACTAGAAAGAAAATTAAAAAATAATCATTAAAGAAAAAATTAAATAATATGTATCTAGCTTTTACGTATTAAGTTTTCTTGAAGGCAAAAAACGCGCACACACGAACACACATGTGTATTTATGCTACAGAGACAGAAAAATGTTAAAACAAGATGGCGACCATCTTGTCAATTCAGTATACCAAAGATTTCCCCCAAAGATTTCTCAGTCAGCATAATTGCAACTTCTTTTGCCAACTTCTGATTACACTAAAAAACATGTAATTTGTTTATTTTCACGCTTACCTTATTTTATATTTGTAAATTTATACAATTTTTTAATTGTAATATTTTTTTATTCCTTATAATACACTTTCCGCTTAATAGCGACACACTTTCGAGAACACACCTTTTCACCAAGAATTATTTTTCATAAATGACATAAATGAAATAGAGTTGTACAGTCCACGAACGAACTAGTTCAAATGAACGATTCACTTAAAAGACCGATTGAACTAGGTCTTACAAATTCGTTCTTTTTAGTTCATTAAAAGCACGAACTGGAATAATCGTTCCTTTTAGTTCAAATGTGAGCGTTTTACTGACCTAGTTTGATTTGGTCTAAATGGTTGACAGTTTTTATCGCTTACTGACTCTCTAAAAACCGTGAATATTTTTGTGGTTGCCTTATAAATGACAAAAAATGAATGACAATCTTGCCCAAATTTTGCTTGTTTGAAAGTGTGGGCTCTCATTTTTGTCATTCAAAAATATTCATGGTTGTTGGACAGTCAGTAATCGATAAAAACGCCATCACTCAAAAATGCTTGTTACACCGCTTTAATGCGGTGTACACACTAGCATTTTTGAATGGCACTCTTGCTCAAATTTTGCTTGTTTGATAGTGTGGCCTCACATGTTTGTCATTCATCAGGCAACCACAAAAATTTTTATGGTTGTTGGACAGTCAGTAATCGATAAAAAAGCTGACAGTCAAAAATGATAGTGTGTACACCGCTTAAGAAAAGACAATAATTGTGCGGTGACTTAACCATGGTACAATTTTTGGTCACTTCTCCTACTGATGGTATATATTTTATAATTTAGATTTGGGAACCGAGAATATACGTCAACATATAGTGGTGTACACACTACGAGTTATCATCCATGTGCATTAAAAATTATTGAATCAGTTGGGATATGATAAGGTACGTTTAGATCTACGAAATTCACTCGATCTCAAATGTCAATTCCATAGCGTATACGTCAAATATAATCCACTGGATTTGTGAACAGGATTAAAGTGGCGTATATGCAATGGATTTGACATTTGAGATCGAGTGGATTTAGTCGTCTAAACGTAACCATAGTCTTTGAGCGCGTTTAAACAACTAAAGGGCTAAGCAGAATGCTCGCGTTGAGCGTTTTTTGTTATCGCGTTAACGCACGCAAAAAGTTAAAATATATTTAACTCCGACGCGCAGCGCACATCAACTTCGAGCGTTTGTGTTATCGTTTCCTTGTGGTTGTTGTATTTTCGATAACACATAACGCAACGGATGGCTCAACGCGAGCATTCTGCTTAGCCCTTAAATCCACTCGGTTTCAAATGTCAATTCCATGATTAAAGTTAGTGTATACGCCATCTTATACCATAGACAGACGACAGCCTTAATTTGCATTAAAAATTTCTTAATTTGAATTAATATTTACCCCTGACAGACGAGAGTTTCTGCATTTACGAAACAGTTTTTTTTTTTTTTTTTTTGTTTTAAAACAATTGTTTGTCTGTATGCAGAAAGAAAATGCTTACAATTGTCCTGATATTTTTCGGGATTTACATCTATAGGAAATAGATACATGACATAAAGGAAGAATAGAAGCTATGCTGTTAACAAAACAGCCCCCCAATTTGAAAAAGGTTGAAATTTGCCTTTATTTCTTATTTTTATTTTCATAAACATAAACAAATTTGACAAGAAACAATTAATTTTCGACAGCATTGCCATATTGAAATTGCCTAATTCAGTATAAATTCAGTTCGATTTTGTGCATTAACAACACATAAAAATGAATTTGTGCATTAACAACACATAATAATGACGATAATGTACAAGTTAATTTGAATTAAGGCTGTTAATGCAAATTAAGGCTGTCGTCTGTCTAGGCTATTAATTTGAATTAATATTTACCCCTGACAGACGAGAGTTTCTGCATTTACGAAACAGTTTTTTTTTTTTTTTTTTTTGTTTTAAAACAATTGTTTGTCTGTATGCAGAAAGAAAATGCTTACAATTGTCCTGATATTTTTCGGGATTTACATCTATAGGAAATAGATACATGACATAAAGGAAGAATAGAAGCTATGCTGTTAACAAAACAGCCCCCCAATTTGAAAAAGGTTGAAATTTGCCTTTATTTCTTATTTTTATTTTCATAAACATAAACAAATTTGACAAGAAACAATTAATTTTCGACAGCATTGCCATATTGAAATTGCCTAATTCAGTATAAATTCAGTTCGATTTTGTGCATTAACAACACATAAAAATGAATTTGTGCATTAACAACACATAATAATGACGATAATGTACAAGTTAATTTGAATTAAGGCTGTTAATGCAAATTAAGGCTGTCGTCTGTCTAGGCTATTAATCATGTTCACAAAAGGAATTGGCATTTGAGCTCGAGTGGATTTGGTACATCTAAACGTATGGGAATTTTTTTACAATTAATGTTTTCTTTTCAGACACAAAAAATGGCCTGTTCCCGCACTGCAAAAATCTACTCGATTTTACTATTTTCTTATGCCATGTTCTGACGGGCATCCGAACAACGTAGTTCGCTCTCAGAATTACGTACATGAATTAACCCGTTCATACAACACTATTCATAATTCATATCATCAGAGTTTTTTATTTCAAACTTTTTGTTTCTTGTTTTACACCAAAAATGTAACATATTTTAGTGAATTACATAGGGATCTAAATAGAAAAAATAATTCTCTTTCTCCTGACTATAGTATGAACCAATATCTATTTACTTTTCATTCATGTTTTCCATTTTTTCTGAAAATGTTGTTGTTTTTAATACATTTTTATATTTTCTCAATTCAAATGTCACATACTGTCATAAATAAAAATTTGGAGAATTTTTTGTTTGAGTTGCCCCACATTTGTTTCTTGTTTTGTACGCTAATTAGAACCAAGGGAAAAGAAATGCATATTGCATTATGTAGAAAACAAAATTTACATCCTGCTGCATATATAAAAACTATACAATTTTTTACTTTTCATTCATGATTTTCAATTTTACTGACAAAGTTTGAAAATTTCATAAATATTTTCAAACTGTCAAAATTAATTTATTTTCGATAAATACTCTCAATTGTTAGGGATGGGACAAATTTATTGGTTATTCAGAGAGTGATTCGAATTGAACAACGTACAAAAGTCGGTGTTCGCTCAGACAATTTTGTATGGGGAACTAAGTAATTCCTTCATAATTAAGGGTCGAACAACGAATGAGAGAGCGAACAACGCTCGTCTGTACATGGCATTAGATACAATTGGTCTGTTCCCGTATTGCAAGAATCTACTAATTTTTACTCCGATAACTAATTTTCCTTTATGATATCGGAGAAAATAGTATAATTTAGTAGATTTTTGCAGTACGGGAACAGACCAAATAAAGGAAAAAGTAGTGGATTCTTGCAGTGTGGGGAAAAAATATGTCTATTCGATTTAAGGACGAATGGTCTGTTCCAGAACCTGCAAGAATGTAAAATTTTTTACTACGATAACAATTTTTCCTTTATGATATCGGAAAAAATAATAAAAATTAGTAGATTCTTGCAGTACAGACAGCAACAGACTAGAAGTTGATACTCATCGGAAAAAAAAATAAAATTTGGGTCAAATCGGATATTCCATTCGCCTAAGATGGGATTTATATAAAAATTAAATTAAATGTTGACCCTTTGTTGGTCTACATTTTTTCCAACAATATACAGGCATTTTTAAAATATTTGGTTGCGCAAATTTTTGTGTTCGAATTGGAACGAAAATCGGATGCGGACGGACTCATGTTATTTTGACCATTTTGTGTGGGAGGTACCAGAAGATGTGGTCCAATAGGTCCCATTTTCTAATTCGATTTAGACTAAATAAAATATCACGATGTGAAATGTGTGAATGAAATGCGGAAATTTATTTCGCTTCATCATGGCAAAATAATAAATGTAGTCTCTTTTCAAAAATTCAAGTACAACTATGCGCCTTCAGCTGGTCCATAAAGACCATCTTCAGCCGGTCAATAAAGACCAAAATTCCTTCTTTTAAATTGTATATAGAAAGCCTCCAGTTCTCCTATAAGAAAACCGCCTGATCTGGAGACCATGGAAATTCAGCTGAAAGAATATATTTTTAGAAGTTTTTCAAGTCTTTACTTTTAAACCATTCCTGTAGTACAAATATCAAGCCATTTTAAGAGACCACAGCCCAAACTGACGTTCCTTTTATACACATTTTCCTCCAGAAATTTGGCCGAGTAAAAATGGCAATCAGGAATGCCAACTTCTGATGGGGCCAATTGGGTTATTTAAAAAAAAACGATAGGGCTGCTGATTGACTGTTGTGTTGATAATGAATGATTATTTGATTTACTATTAAAAAAGTACGGAAACAGAACAGCTACACACATCTTAATTTAAGTTGCACCCTCCTCCCATTACTTGTCTTCACACACACTGTCAAATGAGATATGGCAATATTACATGTCTCTTGGAATATTCATTGCCGCTCATTACTCTGGCAACTCGGTGTCGCTCGTCATTATTTTGTCTTGTCTTTCTGGTCCGTGTTTTACGTGGATATTTCTGTAGTTTTCTTTTTTAAGTTTTATTAGAAAAGTAATAGTTTTGACTTTTTCCCGTAATTTTATGAAACATAAAGTGACAAGGGTTAAAGTTCAAACAAAAATATTTCCAATACAACCAAAATACACCGGGGAATACACACTCCATATTGATACACAAGCGAAAGTTCCACAATTGAATTAGACTGACCAGTTAGTAGAAATTATCCAGGCAGGATTGTTGATCGGTATTAAGAGTTTGAAAGGAAAATAAAAATACAACAACAACAATGAACATCCCCAACGAATATATTGCAAAAACAGAGGATGTGGCGGATCAGGTAAGGAATTCATAAAAATGATAATATTAAGGATTTCAGATTGGAACAATAACATACGTTGACAAAAAAACAGTGGTCATTTGTTTGACAATATTCGCTCTCTTACGTTTTTGAATATGGCATATGATGAAGGCGGCGATTAAGAGAACGATTTAAGGGAGCCATGACATTGGAGAGCTGAAGTAAATACGAACGAACGAAAAAAAACTGTCAACGTCATCCATTGGAAGGCACACGACAGCGACACATTAGTGGCTTTTGAATTTTATGTTAATTTGAAGATAATCGGAAAACAACTTCGTTGGCAAAACCAAGATATAAGTACTTCAGTTCCACAAAAAAACAATAGAGGGCAATATAGAAAGAAGTTTTGATATATGTCGTAATTATTTCTTTTCATTAGTACTTTCTCCTTCCATGCTAGGAGATGTGATATCTGAATAGTGTATTTTTTGTTGTTATATTTGTTGTTGTTTATCCAAAGTTCCCAATACAATTCCTATTCATTCCATAGAATAATATTGTGTGCATATCGCAACGGTAATCTCTTTCTATTTTGGAACCAAGATCCATGTATGTATATTGAAATGCACAGCACAACAACAACAAATGTATATACTTTCCTCTGACGTTTATTGTTTGTTGTTGGTTTTCTTTTATGTTGTGTATTGGAAATTCCTCATTACCCCCTCACCAATCAGAGACCAATTGTTGCTTAAACATATTTTTGGGGTCCGTATTTTTCTTGTTGTTTTTGTATTTCTATGTCACTCACTATTATTACCTAACTGTAACAAGTGAAATTAAAACTGTTGATCAATTATCTTTTTTTTGTCTTCACTTTCGATTCGTCGGTGTCTAAATTGTTTTACGGAACCAGTTTATCGTAACCATTGTGTTGAATTATAATTCATTCAATGTCATTAAGACGTGCTTTCAGCGACAACTTTTAGTTTGAAGATTTGAGCCAAGTAAATTATTGGGGTTTTCGGATTTTTTAAATCAACACATCAATTTTTGAAATATTGTCAAGGTCGTATTTTATTTTTAGGGATTTTTTGAGATGATAAGAATTAATTGGTGATCTTTTTCTTAGTCAAATTGTCTAATGGAAATCCCGAAATCTTTATAAAATTGTCTAATTTAAAATGGAAAAATATTCTTTTAGATATAGATGCTATTATAAATAGAGTATTCAAAGTAAAGCATTCATGACAAAAACACAATAGCTAGTTACACGCGTCATTTTTTTTCTTTTTTTTAATTTTTATTAAGCCTCCAATATACATTAGGACTCTGATTTTTTTTACTTTTTTCCCAAAAAAAATTTCAAATAGTAGGAATCGTGGTACAATTATTCATGATAGGCCATAGCATCCTATAAAATTAGATTTTTTTCATACTTGTTATGCCAAAGTTATATACAAAATATGTGACTGTGTAATGTTTTGAAAAATATAACAAAATACAGTGGTGGTCACAGAATTAAAACATTTACTGTGGTAAACATTTTTTGATCAGCCCTCGATTTGTTGGAAGTATTTTTGACATTTTTTTAATTCACTCTTCGATATACTGCACTTAAGAGATTTAGTTTGAAAATAGAAATTTATTGCATGTAATATTTCCATAAATAACGGTTTTTATGAAAATACATCGATTTTGAAGTGGCCATATAATTAAAACATTGTGTGATTTTTTACTTTACTGATTTTTTTGAAAATATTTTTAAAAAGGCTCTTTATTTTAGTTAAATTATGTAAACTAAGCACTGATAGAATCATTTACAGATAAAAATATCTGAAAAAAACTGTAAAATCTATCAAAATTGCCAAAAATTTTTACATTACACCTAACATTCAGAAAACACCCTTATTATAGAAAATAAAGTTCCGAATGCACTAGAAATTGCTAGAATTAGTAAAAAACAATTAATAATTCTCAAAATGAATAAATATTTGAAATAAAAACTCAAAAAATGGGAATTGACCTAATGGAACGATTCGATTTCAATGGCCTTTACTAAAGAAGGCCGGAATATTTTTGCAGTATGTGAGAAAATATCGATTGATATTGGTATTTATTATATCAAATCGATTGTTCGAGTAGTCCAGAATATATTTTATCAAAAAATATATCAGTTACAACAGAACGAACAGAGATCAACGCCTATGTTGACGAGTAAAGGTTTCTGGCACACAGCAGCATGATTGATGGTCAACTCTTGACCTTTAAAATCTATTGAACATGACAATATTTTTCCAAAAAAAGTATTTTATGAAGAGAATAACTTCCACTTAATCTATTTTAGTAACAAATTAGGAAAAATTTTACACTTTGACAAATATTTGAAGACTTGTGTTGAACATCAAAAATGCTGCTGTGTGCCAGAAACCTTTACTCGTCAACATAGGCGTTGATCTCTGTTCGTTCTGTTGTGACTGATATATGTTTTGATAAAATATATTATGTACTACTCGAACAATCGATTTGATATAATAAATACCAATATCAATCGATATTTTCTCACATACTGCAAAAATATTCCGGCCTTCTTTAGTAAAGGTCATTGAAATCGAATCGTTCCTTTAGGTCAATTCCCATTTTTTGAGTTTCTATTTCAAATATATATTTATTCTGAGATTTATTTATTGTTTTCTACGAATTCTAGCAATTTCTGGTCATTCGGACCTTTATTTTCTTAATAATGGTGATTTCCTGAATGTTAGGTGTACTGTACAAATTTTTGGCAATTTTGATATATTTTACTGATTTTTTCTCAAATTTTTATCTGTAAATGATTTTATCGGTGCTTAGTTTACATAATTTAACTAAATTAAAGGGATTTTTTAAAAATATTTTCAAAAAAAATGCAGTAAAGTGAATCACACAATGTTTTAATTATGTGGCCACTTCAAAGTCGATGTGTTTTTAAAAACCCGTTATTTATGGAAAAATTGCATGAAATTATTTTCTATTTTCACACTAAATCTCTTAAGTGCAGTATATCGAAGTGTTCTGAATTAAAAAAAAATTTAAAAATACTTCCAACAAATCGAGGGCTGATCAAAAAATGTTTACCACAGTAAATGTTTTAATTCTGTGACCACCACTGTATATATTCGAAAATCGATTTGTTTGAAGATGAATTTTACAGCATTCGTAAAAAGAAATGTATGATTTGTGAATGAATCAACAAGTACATCATATCCCCAAATCGATTTTGAAAAAAACCTGAATGAATTACCTTTTACCTATTAATATTAATTAATAATGCATTTAATTAACCAAATATGTCCCGCCAAACTCAGTTCGAATTTATATTTAAAATATATATATATATATATTTTAATCGTACACATCCAAAAGATAATAAATATATATTTTTATAACCTTCACGACATCTTATGGACAATATGAGTCATTGGCCATAGAAATAGATGAACATTTGACGTTCTATCCTATTTTGAATCGTTAGTATTTCTTTGTATGGGATGCAGAAACCTTATAGGGGTTTCATTATTAAATATATTTCGTTGAATGCAAACGGTTATGGCATTTTCTTCATATATTCTTATAAATTCCCTTAAAAATATTTTTTTAAATGATGTTGGGCCTGAGATTTGGCTTAAGTCTAGTTTAAGACCCGTTCGTGAATCTTTATGATTTTTTTCATTTCATTTATTTCATACATAGTAACGCATAAGCTAAAAAAGCCAAAGAACTTTACATTACAATATACTAGCTAACAATGTTGTAATATACAATAAAGAATTAAAAAAAATATCTTATGTTAATGCAATTTCCCTATAAAATTGGTTTCCCATGAAGTAAAATTAACAAAATAATATTAAAATAATAAAAAAGTTCCAACTATTTTATGATAGCACTACTAAAAGAGCAGAGTCTAACCAATCACATTTGGTTCAGCGCAAATTCAGTATATCTGTTAATAAATATATGCACAAGATTAGAGAAGGTACGTTGAAGCAAGGGAAGTTGGTTCCAAATTCGTGCCACCCGAACAACAAATGATCGTTCAAAAATCAACGAGGAGAAGTGTGGAATTAAAAGTTGAGTATTACGAGTTGAGTGCAAGAATATAAATTTATTACGTAAAGATACCGAACAGATATTCGATAAAATATTATAAAATATTTTTAATATACGATGCTTTATATAAATATATAAAATGATACACCCAGAAAAGGCACTGAATAAGTTGAGACGTGGTCATGCCTATTCAACTTATAAACAAAAAGCAATATCATATTATACAACCTCTCAATTTTCCTCAAATTAAAGAGACTGGTACCGGAAACAATTTCAATACAATAGTTTATGGAAGACATCAGCAGAGCAAAGGCAAGACGTTTGCGAATAAATTGAGGTAGATACAAATTGTTACAATAAAGCCTACGCAAAGTGGACACTACACCAGAATAAAGAACTTGAATATGACTAGCGAAGCTAAGTCTATCATCAATGATACAGCCCAATCATTTCATTTCATCTACAAGGGGATTTTTTTTACCATATGCAGTACCTGGGACTATGGTATACTTTTTCCTTTTTTTATTCTTACGAAAAGAAAGAATTTTTAAAATTCTTACGAAAAGAAATTGACCTACCTAAAATCCTTTTAGAAGCGACTTCAAAAGTTCGTTTTCCACAACATTGTTATTTATATACGTCATTACAATCCCACCCATTCTACTTAATGAAAATTCCAATTTTCACTACACTTAAATTATTTTTCATAAGCCAACGTTAACACACTTTACTTATAAGTTGCTGGCAGAGTCTAACCAATCACATTTGGTTCAGCGCAAATTCAGTATATCTGTTAATAAATATATGCACAAGATTAGAGAAGGTACGTTGAAGCAAGGGAAGTTGGTTCCAAATTCGTGCCACCCGAACAACAAATGATCGTTCAAAAATCAACGAGGAGAAGTGTGGAATTAAAAGTTGAGTATTACGAGTTGAGTGCAAGAATG